AGGCCTACCGGGCCTTTGGCGCTCGATTTGAAGCCGCGTAGAAATTGTGCGTCTAAATACGTCAGAAACATTGGCTCGTAAGACGTTTTTATACGTCAGGATAACAGTCAAAGGGTTAATAACTCTCCTCTCCTATTTTAACTGACCCAAAATTCCATTTGTTCTCTAGCTTCTTACTTGTTTATCTCACTCCAAAACTTTTTCTTATTTTCAAAAAAATTTGTTGATAACATCTCACCCTCTCTCATTTGCTCTCTCTTTTACATTGCTTTCACCACTCTCTTAACCTCTCTCTTTTTCTCCATTTACTCTTCCCTCCTTGACATCACTTTCTACTTTGTAAAAACTTCTATATGCTACTTTATTCCCTTACTACTCTCTTTACATCATCATTTCACCAATCGCTTCCTCTTCCTCCCGCACACCCACCCTCCAGAAACCACGCAAACTTCTGTGGAACAACTCTAACATACATTTTTAAACCTACCCACATACCTCTTCGACCCATTGCCTCTGCTCTCATTAGCCCATTATCCTCCAATAGCTGTTTATTATCTTACCCTAAACATGCCTCCCTCTTTTAGGTTTATAAACCTTCACCTCTCTCTCTTCCCTGATGCTTTATTCTCCCTTGTATCCCATCTACCTTTTACTCTCTGTGTTGCTACAAACTAGAAAGTGAATTCTGATAAATCTGTGGCCTCTATAAAAACATGTACATACTGATAGTCTACTCAAAGTCTTTTATCTATAATTCTAAATCCAAACAAACTACTGTCATTTCGCACTACATCTACCTTGTTTATTATTTATCATCTTTTTTCTTTAAAATATGTATTACCTATAAACTAAACCCCCATTCTAGCAAAGTTCAATCAAAGGGCTCCCCTTTATCAATTTACACCTGGCACCCCTAACTTACCTACCACTCCCTCTCTAAAAGGTTCTCCTACTTAAGCATTCAGGTCCCCTACCACAATTACTCTCTCACTTGGGTTCAAAAGGCTCTATACATTCACTAACATCTCCCAATAATCTCTCTCTCTCCTCTGCATTCCTCTCTTTCAGGTGCATACACGCTTATTATGACCCACTTCTCGCATCCAACCTTTACTGTTATCCACATAATTCTTGAATTACACATTCATATTCTTTTTCTTCCTATCCATGACTGAATCATTTACATTATGGTTCCCTCCTTTGCTTAAACTCTCTCAGATATCACAGATTTAATCCATTTATTTTCCCCCACTGAAACTCTTCCTACCCCATTCAGCCTTGTTGTTTCGATTAGGGCCAGGAATCCTCTTCTTTTATTCATAACATCAGCAATCATCTGGTTTTGTCATCCGCCACTAATCCACGCACATTTAAGCCATCAAAGTTTTATAAAGTTTTTGTTCTCTTCTTTTAGTAAATGTTTACAGGAGAAGGGGTTACTAGCCCATTGCTTCCTCATTTATTCTTCAGAGGGATGAGGAGGGGTTATTGAGATGATTTGGTCATTTAGAGAGAATGAAGTAAAATAGGATGACTTGGAGGGTGTATAAATCTATAGTGGAGAGGAGGGGTAGGGGTCATCCTGGGAAAGGATGGAGGAAGGGGGTAAAAGAGGTTTTGTGTGCAAGGGGCTTGGACATACAGCAGGCATGTGTGGTTCGTTAGGATTGAATGAGATGAGTGGTGTCTGGGACTGACGAGCTGTTGGAGTGTGAGCAGGGTAATATTTTGTGAAGGGATTCAGGGAAACTGGTTAGCTGGACTTGAGTCCTGGAGGTGAGAAGTACAATGCCTGCACTTTAAAGGAAGGGTTTGGGATATTTGATGTTTGGAGTGAGATCTGAACTGTCATATCTGAATGCCTCTGCAAGGCAGTGATTGTGTGTGAATGATGGTGAAAGTGTTGAATGATGGTGAAAGTTTCTTTCTTTTTTGAGTCACTCTTCCTTGGTGGGAGATAGCTGGTGTGCTGAAAAAAAAAAATCTTAAGTGATAGTAAAATACATTGCTTTTGAAACTTAATAAAGAAAGAGCCTGTCTTAAACATTGTTATAACATTACCACAAATTTATTGCTTGCTTGAGGAGGACTGATATGATGGAGTGAGTGGGTAGATAAGATGTGTTTGTTTTGTAATGGAATCTCATTTTTGGAATCTTAGCAATAAAACAGTTATTAACCCTTTGACTGCCGCAAGCCCCTTTCTGAAACTGTCATTCTATGTCGCAAAATTTTTGGAAAAAAAAAAAAAAATCTTATGAATGATAGAGAAACGAATTTTTCCGATGTTAATGACACCAAAGTATGAAATTGGTTGAAAACTCCACGGACATTACGCTCCACGAGTTAGCGGTCTCGCAACATATAGCATAGGGCAATTTCACTGACTTTGAGCCCTGTTTTTGGCCAAATTCGTTGTTTCCACTTGACAAACTCATAGTTATTTCTTTAGAACTCATTTTTTCTATCAGTCGAGTATCAGAAAAGCCATTACCGATTTGAAACGACCCATTTAAAGTGGTCAGAAATTGCAGTTTGGCCAAATTTCATGCAAATTAAAAAGATGCAGTTTCGCAAAATAGGTCCAGAATAAACAAGGTAGCCATTCTTGGCACTAAATATAAATTTCCTCTGTTCTTAGTCACATCCTTAGGCTCTCTTATATTACTATTGCTTTCGATTTTTATTTTTTATTCATACAAAAAATACAAAATTATACTGTTATGCAGACTAGCATTATTGTAAAAATGGTTAGATAAATAATATCAGTGCAATAGTGAAAGGATATTAGTCTCCCCAGTTGAGAGGTATGGAAGTGTGGTGTGATTTGCTTACTCCGGAAACATAGGTAAATTCAAACATTTCGCTATTTTGAGATCAATTCAAGGTCATTTTCATCGTGAAACTAATCAATATCATCTCTATTTCTAGATAATATGTTTCCATTTTATCACGTTGAGGACCATGAAAACGAGGACAATAAACCGAAAATACTATACGAAAATACTACACCTCAAAGTCGGCGTTTTAATCCATAAAAACGGCCAGTTTTTTTTTCCTCATTATGCACTGCGTGCTGCAGGATTTTATTTATGTGGTGCACACTGACCACACAGACCCATTCTCTCACATGTGGGCCTACCAGCTTTCTCCTGCTTGATTTGAAGCCGTTAGAATTATTGAGTACAGTGGACCCCCGGTTCGCGATACTAATCCGTTCCTGAGAGCTCATCGTAAACCAAAATATCGGAAAGCGAATCAATTTTCCCTATAAGAAATAATGGAAATCAAATTAATCCGTGCAAGACACCCAAAAGTATAAAAAAAAAAACTTTTACCACATGAAATATTAAGTTTAATGCAATAGAATAGTAATTACAATAACAATAAATAACAATAAATAACGAAAGAATAATTGACACTTACCTTAAATGAAGATCTGGTGATGATTGATGGATGGGAGGAGGGAGAGAGTGTGGATGGTGTTAGCATTAGAAGGGGAATCCCCCTCCATTAGGACTTGAGGTAGCAAGTCCTTTTCCGGAGTTACTTCCCTTCTTCTTTTAATGCCACTAGGACCAGGTTGAGTCACTGGACCTCTGTCGCACAACATAACTAGCAGCCTCACCATGCCTAATCACACTATGTATACCACTACGATTCTTAAATCTTTCAAACCAACCTTTGCTGGCCTTAAATTCACTCACATCACCACTAATTGCAGGCAATTTTTTTACCAAATCATCATGCAACTGCCTAGCCATTTCACAAATGATTGCTTGAGAGATGCTATCTCCTGCTATCTGTTTTTCATTTATCCACACCAATAACAGTCTCTCAACATTTTCTAACACTTGCGGTCGCTGTTTCGTAATCACAGTTGCCCCTTTTGCAAGAACAGCTTCCTTGATTGCCGTTTTCTTGTCACTATAGTAGAGATGGTTGATTGGGGTTTACTATACAACCTGCCCAGCTCGACACACACATTTCCACTTCCGTACTTTGCAATTATCTCTTTCTTCATTTCAACAGTCATTAGCACCCTTGGTCTCGAAGGGTTGGCCCACTGGGAGCTTTCTTGGGGCCCATGGTGACTTATTTTGCAAAAACAGGCACCAAAAACAGTGATAATATGGATAATATGGAATGTACCGAATGTATCCTTAGATGCGCACACACTGGCTGGCTTGTAAACGCTGGCACACACGGGGCAGTTCAGGCCACACATGGACACGTCTCGTACGAACCACATCGCATACCGGGTTTTGTATCGGGAAGGAAGGCAAATTTTCTGCGATATAATGCATCAGTTACCGGATTTATCGGATACCGATAGCATCGCGAACCGGGGGTCCACTGTATATATACGTCCGAAACACTGGCTTGTAAGACGTATATATACGACCAAAACAGTCAAAGGGTTAATTATAGTATGTACTATTCATATATCTGAATATAAAAAATTTACACACGTTAGTGATTGAGTGATATTGAATGTGCTTACTTTTTTTTTTGATAACCCTGCCTTAACTGGGAGACAGTCATTGAGGTAAAAGTGTGTACTCGCCTAATTGTTCTCAACTGATTGTAGTTGCAGGGGTCGAGACTCAGCTCCTGGCCCTGCCTCTTCACTGTACGCTACTAGGTCCTCTCTCTCCCTGCTCCATGAGCTTTATCATACCTCGTCTTAAAGCTAGGTATGGTTCCTGCTTCCACTACATCACTTGCTAGATTATTCCACTTCCTGACAACTCTGACTAAAGAAATACTTCCAAACATCCCTTTGACTCATGCGAGTCTTCAGCTTCCAATTGTGACCCCTTGTTTCTGTGTCCCCTCTCTGGAACATCCTGTCTCTGTCCACCTTATCTATTCCATGCAGTATTTTGTATGTTGTTATCATGTGTGTGTGTGTACACTCACCTAATTGTGTACATGTGTGTGTGTATATAGGTAATTTACTTACAGTTATAATTTTGTAAACAAATTTCTCTCCCAAGACTGCAGTTCCTGTTCTCATGGGCAGCTCATACAAGAATACTGGGGTCCAGCCATTAATGAATGCGGTGATCAGTTACCTGCCATCCCCTCAGGAACGCCAGCTTGAGACTGTTGCATTATATGCCCCTCACCTCTGTGCTATGGCATTTAAGATTGTCCATGACAAACAGTTTGGTGGCATATTAACTTTTGTTCGAATATACTCTGGGCATTTGGAGAAGGTATGAAATATATTTTGTTAATGTGCTTAAAATACAAAACTGGACATAAAACAGTGCATTCATATATTCTGTCTTTATGGATAGAGTGAATGTTGATGAAAGTGTTTCATTTTTGGGTCACCCTACCTCAGTGGGAGATGACCAGTGTTAAAAGGGAAATAATAATAATCACAATCATTCCATCATTTTTCATACATAAGGGCTTTTGCTGGCAACCATAACCAGCTAATAAACTGTTTTTAATGGGAAAAGCTCTCTAAAAAAAAAAGTCATTGTTTTTTTTTCTTTGCAATGATTAGTATTCACATATTGAAATATTGATGTTGTTATCAAGTCAGTATTGTTTTCAAGTTTAAATATATTAGTTACAAGATAATTTCAGGGTCAGAGGCTGTATAATATAAATGCAGAACAGCCAGAGAAAGTGGGAAGAGTTATGATTGCTTATGCTGACACCTTCAAGGAGATACCAACAGTCAAAGCAGGAAATATTGTGGTTCTTACTGGATTAAAGGTACACTACCCTAGTCTTTTTATTATACAGCTTTGTTATAGTTCAGGTAATGAAATGTGACTCTTTGGATGTACAGTGGAACCCTGGTTTTCGTCTTTTATCCATTCCAGAAGGGCAGCCGAAAACCGATTTGTACGAAAACTGAAGTAAAATTTCCTATAAGAAATAATGTAAATCCAATTGATCCATTCTAAACACCCAAAAATGTTAACAAAAAATACTTTTTTAGAGAATAACTATAGTTTTACATACAGAAAACAATGAGAAATAAATATAAATGACTAATGAAATGGATAAATGAACATTTAACATCACTTTTACCTTTATTAAGACTCTTGTTAGCATATGGAAGATGATGAGGAGGGGAGAGGGAGGAGAGGTTATTGTTTGGAAGGGGAATCCCCCTCCATAAGGACTTCAGGTATCAAAGCCCTATCCAGGGTTTCTTCCCTTCTTTGTCTTTTACTGGCACTAGGATCAGCTTGAGAGTAACTGGACCCCTGTCGCACAAAAAATCTGTCTAGAGAGGCCTGTTTCTGGCATCTCTTTAAGATTTGCCTAAAATGGGACATGGCATTGTCATTGAACATGTTGCTGACACGGCTTGCAACAGCTTTTTCTTCACCATTATGGAACTGATCGTTGATTTGGATTTTCCATACATCCTGGCAAGCTCGGCCACACGTATGCCACTATTGTATTTTTCTACAAGTTCTTTCTTGAATTCTATCGTGTTTCTCACCTTCTTTACCAGAGGGCTGGCACTTGGAACTTTCTTTGGCCCAATGGTGGCATATTTAGCAGTCACAGGCACAAAAAACAATGGATTATTACAAAATGTTTTGGATGAAAGCATGGAATAATGCTCACTGAATGAGTAACAAAGGCAGACCAGGTCATGAACATATGAGCGGCTGTGTCCCACGGGCAGGATGATTTCTGAGCGAATGTACAAAAAAGGGGGAAAATTTCACTGAAAAAAGTGGTTGAAAACGGAATTATATGATAATTGGATTGGACAAAAACCAGGGTTCCACTGTAGATCAGTACTGTATATAGATTATTTATTACATACTGGTGTTAAGAAACATTATAGGATATTAAAGTAAAATATGAGTTTTGTGAGGCATGCAAGTGATTTACCTTGTTATTAGAAATACAGTAAACATGTACAGAAAGAATCTTTTTACTGAAGACAATGATGTTGGTGGGATAAAATGCCAAGTTTGTTAATATACTACTTTTGTGTGATCTAAGTATGATATGCTAAGTCTCTGTTAGCATATACAGAAATAAATTGTAACAAAAGTACAGAAAAATGATCTGGCAATGAGCTTTATTACCTGTATATTTCTTTATTTCCCATGTGCATAACCTCATTTTTTTGAAATATTTGTTAAAATGATATATGATTAAGCAATAACTGGCAGATTACTAGTACGGGAGACACTCTGGTCGGAAGTTATTCTTTAGCCAACAATGTTAAGAGGAAGTTACTGGATGACAAGAGAGATCCCCAAACAGCCATGTTGCTTGGTGTTAAAGTGCCTGAGCCAGTCTTCTTCTGCTCTGTAGGTTGGTAACAGTACTTTTCAATCTCTGTCATTTGATAAAATTACTCAGGATTAGAGCAAATGTTATCCTGAAACTTTATCATAATTAGTGAAGATGTAGATTTGAGGTTGTCAGTCCCACATTCTTCTCCAGGTTGAGGGACAGTCATAATTAATCACATCATCAGTATATTGTCATTTTTTTTTTTTTAACACGTTGGCCATTTTCCACCGAGGCAGGGTGACCCAACAAGAAAAACCCAGAAAAGAAAGAAAAAGCTTTCATACCATTCAACACTTTCACCATCACTCATACATAATCACTGTCTTTGCAGAGGTACTCAGATACGACAGTTTAGATGTCCCTCCAAACTGCCAATATCCCAAACCCCTCCTTTAAAGTGCAGGCATTGTACTTCTCATTTCCAGGACTCAAGTCTGGCTAACCAGTTTCCCTAAATCCCTTCACACAGTATTACCCTGCTCACATTCCAACAGCTCATCAGGTCCCAAAAACCATTTGTCTCCATTCACTCCTGTCTAACACGCTCACGCACACTGTATGCTGAGCATTTTGGGCAAACTTAAAGATTAACTTAAGAATAGTAAGGCAATAATACATAGTTATATGGTAATTAGGTGAGTTAGAGAGAGTACAGGAGAATTGAATATTATATCAGGTGATGCTACATGGTTTTGATAAGTCTAGTAGAGACTTTTTACACTATTGAATTAGTTAATAAGATTACAGTATTATAGTGTAATAATTTAAAACAATTTACAATGTGACGTATTACAGTTTAGTACTATTTAAAACAAAATACCATTGTAATACCATTGTAATAACATTGTAAATTTGGTATTACAATGGAACAATTTACAATATGATGTACTGTATTGCAATCTACTACTATTTAAAACAGTGAAAAGAACAAGCCCCTCACCCACAAAACCTTTACCTCCCTCCCTCCAACCTATTTGAGGATGACCTCTACAACGCGTTCCTTCCCCTACAGATTTATATGCTCTCCAAGACATTCTACTTTGTTCCATTCTTTCTAAATGACTCCACACCTCCTGATTTCCACACTCCAAATTCTCTGCATAATATTTACACCACACAGTGCCCCTAGACATGACATCTCCACTGCCTCCAGCCTCCTCCTCTCTGCAGCATTTACAACCCATGCTTCATACCCATATAAGAGTGTTGGTACCACTGTATTCTCGTACATTCCCTTCTTTGCCTCCATGGATAACATTTTTTGTCTCCACAGATACCTCAGTGCATGACTCACCTTTTTTTCCTTCATCATTTTTCTGGTCAACCTCAGCCTTCTTAAACCCATCTGCTGACAGGTTAACTCCCAAATATCAGAAAACATTCACTTCTTTCATACTCCCTCCCTCCAATGTGATATCCAATTTTTCTTTATCTATATAGTTTGATACCTTCATCACCGTATCCTATCTATGTTCACTTTCAACTTTATTCCTTTACAAACCCTCCCAAACTCGTCCCCGAACCTTTGCAACTTTTCTTTAGAATCTCCCAAAACACAGTATCATCAGCAAAAAGTAACTGTATCAACTCTCATTTTGTATTTGACTCCCCATAATTTAATCCCACCCCTCTCCCCAACACCCTAGCATTTACTTCTTTTACAACCCCATCTATAAATATGTTAAATAACCATGGTGACATTACACATCCCTGTCTAAGACCTACTTTTACTGAGAAGTAATCTTCTCTCCTACACACTCTAACCTGAGCCTCATTATCCTCATAAAAACTCTTTACAGCATCTAGTAACTTCCTACCTGTTCCATACACGTGTAGCATCTGCCACATTGCTCCCCTATCCACTCTATCATATGCCGTTTTTGAATCCATAAATGCAGTGAAAACCTTGCTACTTTTATCTGAATACTGTTCACATATACGCTTTAATGTAAACACTTGATCTGCACATACCCTACCCATTCTAAAGCTGCCTTGTTCATCTGCAATCCTTCTCTTTGTCTTACCTCTAATTCTTTCAGTAATAACCCTACTATACACTTTGCCTGGTATATTCAGTAAACTTCTTTCTTTCTTTCAACACACCGGCTGTATCCCACCGAGGCAGGGTGGCCCAAAAGGAAAAACGAAAGTATTCAGTAAACTTATTACCCTATAATTTTTACAATCCTAGGTAGTAGGTTGGTAGACAGCAACCGCCCAGGGAGGTACTACCGTCCTGTCAAGTGAGTGTAAAACGAAAGCCTGTAATTGTTTTACATGATGGTAGGATTGCTGGTGTCCATTTTTCTGTCTCATGAACATGCAAGGTTTCAGGTACGTCTTGCTACTTCTACTTACACTTAGGTCACACTACATGTACATGTACAAGCATATATATACAGTAGGGCCCCGCTTTATGGCGTTCCACTAATACGGCGATGTCAAATTATGACCAAAATTTGCTATACGGCAAGCTGTCTTTCAAATATGGCGCACCCCACCCGGTTTGTTTGCATTCTCCATGACCACATCTATTATGTCAGGAAACTTTCCAAAATTTCAAGTGTTCTAAAGTTACTGCATATTTTATATGTACTCTGATAATTATACTTATGTGTACCTGTACCTAAATATACCTACACACTGTGCTGGTGTGCAGGTACACATTAAAATCGCTCTACTCGTGATGCCAATAGTACTACATAATAATAATAATCACTCTTGGGCACACTAAATGTCTTATTTTACATTAATATAGGCATTTTCATTAAACCATCTATGCTATTTTCCTCAAAATTAAATATAAAACCCGTTACATAGCATATAAACGTGATACATACACTCACAGAATAAAAATTGACGTAAATATGAGATTTGTTTACGAAGCAGCTGTGTAGGTAGTGTCGGAAGAATTACGTTTTCTCTAGTCAAACTGGGGGATAACTGTAGAAAAATATTCTTTTCGTATGCCTTTACTCTATATATAGCAATTCACGGCCTTTGTGGGTTTAGTGCTTTTTATAATAATAATAATAATAATAATAATAATAATAATATCTTTATTCACTCTAAAAATGGTGTGTTGCTGTTTGTTTATTCTGTACTAACTAGTACAACTTGTACACAATGTAAGAGTACATGTATTTGTATTGTGAGGTAATTATTATAATAAAAAAATATTGAGGTAAATGTTTTACAAACTCTTACAAACGTACGTGAATGAACTAAAAGTAGACACATATTAATACGCATTTATTTCGCCAGACCAAGTGATCGCCCACTACCTGTTCAGTTTGTATTCTTACATTGTCTGAACTCTCTATCTCGTTCTCTCTCTCGTTTACTCTTTTGTTAACTAGTTGGCTCTCATTGACGATGGCATCTAAGCTTAGCTGTGATAAAAAGAGGAGTCGTAAGCCTCTTGCTTTAAGTGCCAAGTTAGAGGATGATGGTGTGCCATTCTGATTTTATTCAATAAACACCCTGCCACTCGCCTCTCACACATTAATATTAATATTTTAAGGTAACTAATAAGTGTACTCTGTGTGTATCTTTCTTTTTATTGTGTTTTAATGCCTATTTCTATTGCTAACTTAATATAAGTTAGTGTAAACTTGTTGTCTGGCATTTATTGCATATTTTATATGTGCTCTGATAATAATACTTGTGGACCTGTGTGGTAGCCGGGCGGAGGGACAACATTACGTTTTCTCTGCTCAGCCACCAGAGAAAACGAGTATGAATCTGCGTTTGGCCCAGCAACTCCCACACTCCGATTTTGCTTACAATTTTCGGCATGAATGATTCATTACTTCTCCCTTCGTTTATGATGGCATCTAAAGGTAATTGTTAGAAATGATTAAATTCAATGAACAAGGTATGTCGATGTTAATAATGTGTAGGTAGCCGGTAGATGTAGCCCAGGCAGGCTACACCTACCGGCTACCTACACTGACTTCCTGCAAATAAATACTACTCACCTCTCTTCCTATATTAAGACTACACATATTTTAAGGTAAATAATGAGTGTGCTGTATGTGTATTTTACCTCTCTGGGACGTTTTAAATACCTTATATTAACCCTTTGACTGTTTTCGACGTATAAATACGTCTTACGAGCCAATGTTTCTGACGTATATATACTCAATAATTCTAGCGGCTTCAAATCAAGCAGGAGAAAGCTGGTAGGCCCACATGTGAGAGAATGGGTCTGTGTGGTCAGTGTGCACACATAAAAAAAATCCTGCAGCACACATTGCGTAATGAGAAAAAAAAAACTGATCGTTTTTTTGGAATAAAACGCCGACTTTGAGGTGTATTTTCGTATAGTATTTATCGTTGTATTCGCGTTTTCATGGTCTCACGTGATAAAATGGAAAACATATTACAGAAATAGAGATGATTTTCATTACTTTAACGAAGAAAACGACCTTGAAACTGAGCTCAAAGTAGCGGAAATGTTCGATTTTTACCAATGTTCAGGAGTAAATAAATCACACCACACGTCCAATACACGTCAACTGGGGAGTCTAATATTCTTTCACTAGTGCACTGATATTATTTATACCATTTTTACAATAATGCAGTAGTCTGCATAACAGTAAATTTTGTATTTTTTTGTATGAATAAAAAATCAAAATAGAAAGCAATAATAATATAAGAGGGGCCTAGAGATGTGACTAATGAACAGAGCATATGTTATTTTAGTGCCACGAATGTCTACCTTGTTTTTTCTGGACCCTATTTTGAAATTGGCATCTTTTTTAGTTTGCATGAAATTGGCCAAATTGCCAATTTCTGACCACCATATTGGGTAGTCCAAATTAGTAAATTGGAGGTTTCTTGTACTCAGCTGATAGACAAAATGGAGTTCTAAAGAAATAGCTATGAGTTTGGTCAACTGGACCAATGGAATTGGCTGAAAATAGGGCTCAAAGTCGGCAAAATCGCCGATACGCATATGTCGCTGAGACCGCTAACTTTGCGGGAGCATAATTCCATGAGTTTTCGACCAAATT